TATATATGTAAACATTATTTTACCACAGGTAGTATATGTAATGCAGGAATGATTTTATTTTTATACTAGCGTATGCACATTTACCATTTCAGAAATACATTTAAGAGCAACAGTGGTAACATACCAAGTGGTAGATACCAAGGGAGCAGGATAAGGGTGGTCCTTCTCAGGTGAGAGCAACAAGAGATTCCACTGTTTATGGAGAATTTTAAGAATAATAAAACCAAATAAGAGTCAGTGTGTATTTTATTATCACCATTTCCTGGCACTCAGACATTTTCAGTGATTTGCTCATCTCCACCATAGCAGACCACTTGCACTATCCCATCATCTGCCCCCAACCTCCCATCCTTCCCTTCCCCATGTATTTGTTACTATGGTCAACACTATGAACAGAGGGGATTCTGAATTCAAACTAGCTTAATAGATACACAGTGGTAAAATAGTTATCAGAGAATTCCTTATGTATGAAGAACTTAGTTTTGAAATGCACTCAGGTACATTTACTTATTTGCTGTTGTCAAGGTTGGGCCGCCCTGATTGAGATTCAACACAAGCTTGCCAGATGCCAGACTCTTTCTCTCTATTAGTACTCAGTCTGGCTGCCATGAGAATCACCTGGGGAAGGGTGAAAAGGATGGATGCCTGTGTCTCACTTTGGGACAATTAAATTGGAGTGAGGGTGTGAGGCACGGTCACTGGTACCTTTAAAATCTGCTCAAAAATTCTACCATGTAGCCAGGGTTGAGAATCACTGATCCAAGTAGTATGGCAAAACGATCTGCTACACAATAAGGTTTCAATAAATGCAGGCTATTATAATTTGAATAGCACTCTTGTACATTACCCTGGCAAAAAGCCATTGATGTTTTCATATGTATGAGGAAAACAGGTTCTGGCCAATTGTTTGTCCAATCACAGATCTTGTTAAGTCAGAAAGCAAGAGATTGATTATAAACTTAGAGCAATTTTCATGTTTATGAAGTAACTACTGAATACAGTTTGATATAGAAAAGCTTTCTCACACTTATCATAACCTCTATTGTATATTATATATTTCCAGGCAGTACCATATTTTACACCAAGGCAAGCAGGATCTTGCTGACCCCCATCTCATGAAACTTCCTTGCTTTGAAGCATTTTTCTCTACATTTTCTCAGACCCTTCTGTGAGGACAAGGTCAGGGCACCGAGCTGAGGTACCCTGAGCCTGAGACTTCCATGGGCTTCAGTTGCTGTTCAGGGTAGATCATTTCTGCTGCCTGTGATGGTTTTCCTTTTGTGGGATCGCACAAGACTGGGCTGCCAGATGGAGCTGACAAGCTGATTTGGGGTGACTCAAACTATTTACATAAATAAGTACCCCACTAAAAATACATTCTCATTTCCATACACCCTAGAGGCAGCCTTAAATTGTACAGGGATCTCAACTATACATTTTAAACTTGAATAAGCAAATCACTCAAGCCTTCTTCACTAGAACCATTTATCATTACATTTTCCTAAGACTGCATGATCCTCATTTACATAAGTCAAAGAAAACAATCCAAAAAACAGTATGCATATTTAGGAACAGGGTCATAGTGTCACTCAAAACAGCAATACTATGAACTCTAGCGGACGCAATAAATACTCATCAAATCTTATAAAAACATATTCCTGTGACTTCCTAGGCCAAGGGAGCAGACAAGGGCATCTAGATTGATATACCATATCTGCAGCCACTTAAATCTCTAAAACTCACTTTCCTCATCTGTAACATAGGGTTAATACCCTCTTGATAGAATTGTTGACTGTAATAAATGAGATTTTTTGGAAAAAGTAGTTAATAGCTTGGCACAATGTAACTAACATTGGCTACATTGTAATGCTAATTATATTAATGATTACATTAGTAAATTGTAGACACTCATTAAATGTTGGTCTTAGAGCAGCTTGTAGCCAGCACTATGATGAAACTCTAGTCTGTGCTGCCAAGAAGGAGAGAAAGGCAATTCCCACTTAGGATAATATGTAGTGGCTTCTTGGAAGAGGTGTTTACAGACTGATCTTTAAAGAAAAGACATAGCTCCTCCATTATATGAGCAAGGACTAGGGGAAGGGAGAGAGAAAGAGAAAGAAGAGAAAAGAGGAAGTCCACGAGGACACCCAGGAGCCATGTGGATGGGTGGTGTGGCTCGGTGAAGACTTTAAGAGGCAGGTCAGTGACCTAAAACTTGCTCCAGAAATCCACACACAGAACTTCAGTCTTTCCTGCCAACTCTTCAATGGCCACCCAAGGCAAGATGATCAGTGAATGAAGTTTGACAGGTGTTAAAACGTTATGTGATGAGTGAGGGAGCTACATTTCCAGCACTTGAGACAGACATCACTGACCAGAGCATTCCAGTCACTAGGTGACAGGCAAACATTTAAAAACTAGAAGATGAGGTAAAAGAAAGAAGCCAACTGAGTCCAATCCTGAGAGATGATGAAACCCCAGGCTTCATCTACACTCCCATAGCAATTCTGACACATTTTGCTGCCTTGTCCCACTACAGTTGGTCCCACCAGTGGACTCAGCTGAAGTCCTGGTGCTGGCCTTGCTCACAGGCCAGTCCTGCCAGACACTGTGCTCAGCAGCAGGGACAGGATCTCGTGAGTTTCAGAATTTAGTACAAGTCCTAACTTTAGACGTGGAATATCATCCACAGTTCATGGGATCTCATGCTGATACCTGACTTAAAGTGCTGAGTAAGCCCTGGATATCCACTGGTGATCCACTTGCCTTGGTCTCATTTGAATCCACAGTCTTGGATATGCACAGTCTTGTTCCCTCTCTGCCTGCTCCCCTCTTCCATGGTGGCCCTGCCCTGATATTGGCTTGGACCTGATCTGAAGCCCTACTCTCTCCAGGGAGCTGTTTTCCCACCTTGCAAGTGGAGCTGATTACATACAGGCAGATATCACATACACATGACTGCATGGCTTCCACAGGCTTGGCCATGCTCTGCACTGGTTACTCATTACACTTAGTTATATTTTATGCAGTGATCATGTGCCTAAGTCATGGCTTTTGTGCTTTGTACTTCCAACTACATTATGACCTTCTTATGCAGTTGAGTCACCTTCCTTCAGCCTGTTTGTCTCACGCATCCTATCTCCCTTCCTTGCCCACCCATCCCAGGGAGGCTAAGCTTTCTTCCTAACTCACTCCTGTGACTAACCAAAACATAACTCAAAGTAGCATGAACAAAAGTAGCAAAGGAAATAAAAAGAGCCATTTGTGCACCTAGAGATACATCCGAATTTGCTATAAGCTATTCAGCTCAATTTGATCCATGGGCAAGGATTCAACAAAATACAAGGAATCACTGACCTACTCACCACTATGGCAACAACCTATAATTCTCCATCAGCCTCAGCAGGAGTTATCCCAAGCAGAGATAAACTTCAGATGTTACTTTTCCACACCTTACTCCTCACTTCTAGTTGACATCTTCATTATGCAACACATACTATGAAGTGATTAAACCAAGACCAGTGTGTCACCTTTGGCCACACATGAGAATCTACCTAGAACCTATTAAAACTTGTAGCTCAAACCAACTAGAGTTGAAGCACCTAGAACAGAAGGGTGAAGCTCTAGGGCTCAGAAGTTATGAAAGCTCCCCAGGTGATTGAAATGCAACCAAAGTTCACAGCCCCTATCCAAGGTGGAGCAGACAACAGCCTCTGATCAGTTGTCCTACACCCTTCCTCCATAACTTGGAGGGAGGTGGAGTAACTGCCAAAATAATAATAATACTCAAGAAAAGAAATTAAATGAATACTGCTCACCTGAAGAATTGGATGTGAACAAAGTCTCTGAGAGCAACCAAAGTGCCAAGTTCAGGGGCTCTGAAGATCAGGTCCAGGCAGTGATGTGGGTGAACACAGGAGAGACCCCTAGGGAAGCAAGGTAACTCTGGTAATGTCATGTAGAGTCTCACATCCCTAGAGAAGATTTGCAACCCACTATACAGCCTCAGGAGGGGTGGCTCAGTATGAAGGAAGCTCCTCACTGACAGCCCCCAGACTCAAGCCTGTCAGTTAATGACTGTGATATCTTGTGTACTTCTTATAAAGCATAAGAATAAAAATAAAAGGGATGCTCCATAGAGTACACAAATCAGAAGTACACAACTCAATTAATTATCACACACTGAATAAGCACATATAACAACCACAGAGATCAAGAAAGAGAACACTAGTCAAACCACTTTTAACTTATTTGTCTTACTCACTTTATTGCTAGGACAAATTACCTGACACCCACAAATTTATTTTGGAGGAAAAATTTATTTTGGCTCACATTTCAGTCCATAATTGGCTGGTTCCAATGCAGGACACCATGACACAAGGGCATGGCAGAGGAATAGCTCCTCATGTATGGCAGCCAGGAAAAAAGGGGAGTCACAAAAGGAGCCAGGAAGGGAGATCTAACTTTACAGGTCATACCCATACTGAGCCTCCTTTTCTGACCAGCCCCTAGCAGCAAGTCAGCTATAATCCCCCCATAATCCAATCACCTTCCAAAAATCCCACCTATGATTACATTAGCGTTTAGGGAGACATTTAGATATAAACCATAACAATATTCTAAGCATCATCCCTGCACTAGGAGCTATGAGGGGGTTCACAGATGATGTTACAGAAGGTTTCAGGAGTAAGAAACCTCACAGTCTAGGTAGAGCAATCCATCAACAACTTGTACCTCCAATAGCTATCCAACTTTATAATAAATGCCCTTCGGGTAATAAGTAATGTGTAGTGGATGAAAATCATTTTATTCAAAGAATTCCCATAAGGGAACTGTCTTATGTGTAGATTTATTCTAAATGGCAGGACTATATTTAGGAAAGCTTCTCTGAATACACCCATTGAGGCCATGGCTTAGAAAATGACTTAGAATCAAACTGATGTCTGAATAGTTTTACAAACCAGACAAACAGGAATTGGGGAACTTGGAAAGAAGTAAAGATGGGGGATGAGAATGGAGTGGGAAAGAGGGCAAAGAAATATGACAGAAAGCTGGCTATGCAGGAAGGTGGCCAGCAAGAAATTATCAGTGACAGGGTAAGTGAATGATATTTAGGAACAGGGATAGCTAATATCCCAATTAAGGTTACTAATGTAGCCCTCTCCTCATTGCCTCCATAAAATATTCTACATTTTTAATGCTTTGTGATGTTTTAGGGGGAGAGCAAGGGAAGATGCTGAGTTCTACAGCTAGATAAGCACAGAGCAGAAGGAATGGGACAGCCACAGTCACAGGAAATGAAATTGAAGAAGGGTGATGTTCAGATCTGAGTGCTGAGTCACAACCCCAGGAATTCACAGAAATCATGTGGAAGTTATTGAATTTCCTCCAGGATGGCCTGCATAGTGTTAAGACAGAGTTACTCATGTCCCGCAGCTTAAGAGCTATCAGCCAACAACTGTCATAGTCACCCCAACCACCCATCATCTCAATGCATCTGAAATGCATGCCATACACTCTAACTACAAGAAGTTTAGAGTACACAAAATGTTACATACACAAATATTTCAAGGCCTGTTTGTGATGCAAAGGCACTGAAATTCCCCCTATCATCTCAGCCTCTGCTTGGATTAATCTTTCATTTCACACTACACAAAAATATAAGTTTGTGGTTTTTCACTTATGAGGATCCCTGGTTTTTTTGCCATCCCAGAATTCCTCTTACAGGCAAATGTTGGAGCCTCATGTGGCCCACCCTGTGCATATCATCTGAGTGTGTTCCTCATAGACTTCCCCTCAATCCACAGCATGATCCAATTCTGAAAGGTGAACAGAAAACCCATGCAGCTCAACAGAGCACATTTCCCAGTGTGTTGAGCAGGTTTCTAGATGTGTGTGACCAGCATCAGCTACTACTTCTATTGAGCCAGACTGAAATTTGCATTAAAAGAATGTCACATGCACCTGTGGAGGAGGAAAACAAATCTAAGGCAGCAGCATTTATTTTTGTTTGACAGAGAGGTTATGGTTTGAAATTCAGCTGACTAAAATGTATGCTGTTTTCCAGCAAATAAAAATAGCAAAATGTGAGCTATAAGTAGAAGGAGGAGAATGAAGAGGAGGAGGATGTGGAGGAGGACAAAGGGAGAAGGAAGACAGGAGGAAGAACAGAGGAGAGGAGGGTAATAGGAAGAGGTGAGGAGGAAGGGATAAGAAGGAAAGAAAAGACCTGTTCGAATGGCCTTTTCTATTTAAGGCTATAACAGACCAATGAGAAGCAAATTTGGCTCAGTTTTAGTAAGGTTATTGTAGTGGATGCACTGTTTATACTGGAAAAACTTCCTTTATGTAGTTATGGGAAGCCAGGCACCCAAGAAGAAAGTCTGAATTACCATTTTTCAGACATTATTCAGGGACAGAGTGGACATTACTAAATACAAATCAGAGACATGCATGGGAGCCTCTCTGGTACATCATGAAAGAACTACAAGTCCATACATGTGACACTAATTAGCTGAGAGTCCTTTAGCTCAATTCAGATAGAAAACACAAATAGGCAAAGTTTAGCTTTTTTAGTGTTAATAGCCCTGAACTTTGGAAGGCAGTGGCCATCAGTTCTTAGTATTAGTGGAACTCTACCCTTGTCCTGATAGCTGCAACCAGCAGCTACCACTGGCCATGGGGACTCTTCTGGTGACCAGAAATGGCAGCTCCTCCCAACAATTCTCTTTTGATTTCCATTGTGTTTCAGCTGCCAGCCTCCTTCAGTGTTACCTCCCCCAGCTGTTGGCAGTTTCTGGCACCATGTCCCTTCAGTATTACAAGCTTTTCAGTTCAGCCTGTCTACCCAATATAGAAATAATTAATAGGCAAAAATATGCCAGGAAGACAAAGTTTTATTAAGATTTATGCTGCAGCTTAAGGGGGAACAGTACATAGACTGACTCACTAAGGATATAGAAGGTTGCCTATATAAGAAAATAAAGTGGGGTGACACATATGCAGTGTCAGACTTTCTGTTTAGCTATGAGTAGGGAAGGGGCTTCTCACATACCTGATTGAGAACAGCTGTATAGAGGAGTCATCCAGAGAGGTTGTAACATGGAGTCATCTGGGATGGAGCTATGACTGAAGTTTGCTAGAGCCACGGCAAATGTCTCCTAAGTGACATAGGGTGTCTGATGCAGCCATGACCATCTGTGAGACATCTGAAGACGCTTCAGAGAAAAAAAATAAAAAGTACCTCTAGGGAGAACATTGGACCCTTCTCTCCTGTCTCACATGCACAAATACGATCCTTTACAAAGGGCAGTCCTGAAAAAATAAATCATATAGGAAAATCAAATTGTTCTGTAGTTGTCTTAAAGGAGAAAATTAAGTGGACTACAAACTGCTTGTTTACAAAGTAAATCACAATTGATGAGATTCCAGAGCTTTGTGAGCAACCAGTAGATTAATTCTTCATTTCCTTGAGTGCAGGCACAAGACAGAGCTTAGTATGCTATTTGCTGGGCCAAGCAATGACTAACAGGAGTATGACAGGCAAAAATTTAAAGTCATCCCCTCCAAAACAAAGTTCTGTTCAGTCACATAGGCACTGCTGTGAAGAGATTTTTGTGATTGTAGTTAAATTTCCAACTCAGTTAACCTTAAGATTTAGAAAATTTCTGGATAGATCTAATCTAAACATATTAGCACTTTAAATCATAGATATTTCTCCTCAGAAAAAAAGAAAAGAAGGAGAAGTCATGAAAATAGAAATGTAAGAAAGATGCAGTGCATCATTACTGCTTTGAAGATAGAGGAAACTACATGAGAAATATTGTGAACAGGCCCCAAGAGCTGAGGGCAACTCCCTGATGCCAAGCAAGAGAATGGAAACCTTAGACCTACAATGGAAAGGGACTGATGCTGCCAACAAGCTGGCAGAGCCTGAAGAATATTCTTCCCAGAAGTTCCAGATAAGAGCCCAGCCCAGCCAACACCTTGACATTGGCCTCCTGACACTTTCTGCAAAGAACCTAGCCAACCCCACATAACTTCTGACCTACAGAATTATGGAACAGTAAATGAGTGGGTTTTTTAAGCCACTAAGTCTGCAACAATTTTTTACACAGCAGTGGAAAGTAATTCAAGGAGTCCCCACCCCCCACCGCAGTGGAAGATGATAGCTCCCCGATAACAGACCTCACCTAAGCATCCTTTAAATCACTAATGAAAAGTTCACCTTGGTCAATATTGTAAGGTGGGACAGTTTGTCTTATATAACCCAAGATTTCCAATTCTAGACTCCCTTATTCATTTTTGGTGGCTTTCATGCTACTACATTTCTTTTCCTTTAGCACAAACTTTCAGTCAGGCTAAGGTAAAAATCATGTCATATAACCCTCCCAGGGAATTTGGGCTTTGAGACCAAACCTTAGCCAAAGAGTTTGAATTGAAAAGTACAAAATTTGCAGGGCTTGTATATCTGAATGGCATAAAAAAATAACTATATCTCCATACAAATGACAGATTTTGAAGAAATATGGTTGAACCTGGCACCTGATAATAGAGTAACAATAAAACCTAGGCATGCCATATCCCAGTGTCACTCTTCAACATGTTAGATGTCAAGTTTGTCAAATGCGAAGCATAAATGCTTTTAAGTAAAATATGCTCAGAGAGCCAAAATAGAGGAGGTAATATGCAAGATTCCTAATAAGATTCTTACTCAATTGACAAACCCTATTTCACCCTATTAATTTCATTGATTTTACTTTCAGAATGGAACAAAGACCCCCAAATGTTTAAAATACTTTTGACTTGATTGAAAGGAAAAGATCAAACTGCTGAGAAAAATACATCCAAAGGGAAAATTGATTTTTCTCTCCAGTGTGTATCAAATCCATTAGTGTAACTTGATGAAAGTTTCCAAGAAAGATGTACTTTCTGAAACTTTCATGATGCTCATTGGATTTTGTTTGCCAGTACTCAAGGTGACCACATATTATCAGTTGTCTTACCTTGTTTTGTTTTGTTTTGTTTTGTTTTTTGGTACTGGGGATCGAACTCAGGTCCTTGCGCTTGCAAGGCAGGCGGCGGAACTACTGAGCTAAATCCCTGGCCCCTGTCTTACCTTGAAAACTGTCTTACTTCCAAAAATTTGCATACTATCAGGAAGAAAAAGAATATTGTGTAACATCTCTTTCATTCATTAATTTACTTATTCAAGCAATACATACATGTTAAGGATACATGTACATTCACAGTCATTTTTAAGGCATCTATATTATTTGGGGAAATAGAAATGTAAAGTCAATCTTTATACTCAACTTTTGCATTTTATAACCAACCAGCTAATGTTCTTTCCACCCAAAGTTGGTGGTGGGGTGAAAAGAGTACAGGTTTTGAAAATCAGAAAAATCTATATCCAAGTCATGACCATTCAAGTAAGCTTCATGGATGCCTTAAACTGTCTCAGATTTCCCGCTAATAAAATTCAATGCAGATATTCTATGAAAATAAATGAAATGGTGTATATAATATGTTCAGTGCTTCAAAGTACATGCTAAGGGGGGAGTCAGGCAATATTAATAACTATAAGTGTAATCATTTTAGTACCAAGAATACTAAAAAAGCAAAACAGAGTGGTCAAGGAATGTTTGATATTAATGTGGGCTTGAGTCATGTGGGCATCCACAAAAGAAGGGTGCAGCATAAGGAGGAGGCATGCCAGTCCTTGACATGAGCACAGGGTCAGAGGAGAGAGGGAGGGTGGTCAGGGCAGAGAGTGGAGGGCTCGAGTAGAGGAGTTGGAAATTCAAGTCAGGCTGGAGCTCAGTGCTCCTTGGATTGCTAAAGCCCTAAACGACATTTGGGACTCAAGGCCAGTGGCATCAGCACAGCCTTCTAGAAGGAAGGTATCTTTAGTTACATCTTTTTTCAGTATTTGTATAAGTTCCCAACCATGATCATCAAATGCATTAGGCTAAAAGGAGAATAATTTTTTATAATCCCCAGGGTGATGAACTGAAGCTTACAAGATACCATCAATTCAACAAAGACAAATGTAAATTCCTAAACTTGGATCTAAACACTCACCTGCACAACAGGC